CAAAATGGCACCAGAAATCCGAGAAAATTCAGAATAAAACGAGTTTTTATATATTTCTTCAGGTAATTTTACTCAATTGAACCACAAATAGACTATACATCATGAGAGAAGCCATAGCTGCAGAAGGTATGTACCAAGTCAATATATTGAGTGAAGCGATGTGCAGCCACAGATGTTGTCATCTCTTGCCATATTTAGCAAGCAGTGGCAACATCTGCAGATGACGCATCTCTGTGGCCCTCTCTGTGGCACCCTCAGCTAGCACATCATCTCTATCTCAACCTCTGGCCTACCTATTCACTTCAAACTTCTTAAGAACACCCAGATCTATGCTTGTGGAGTTGTAATGTTGATTTCTGGAGGATTTTGGCCACAGGATCTGTTGGGAGAGTGATGTTGCTGTTAAGACTGGAATGTGGCACCTCTACCTCTCTAACAAGGGCTGTCCCTCACTCTATTCTCCCTCTATTCACTCCAAATCTTCTACTAACCTCTTTAATGTACCACTAACTTAGCTTTCACCAAATTTTAGAGCAGCCCATCCACCCATTCCTTCTCAGCTTTGACCCTTCTTCCACTGTCTTCTCTCAAGATATTTCGCTTTTTATCTCTTTTTGGAGATGTTTAAAAGCATGAGGATAAAATAGAATGTGATTCTTTAGGTGAGTAGTGAATTGCTCTGGACTTAGATGATCTCTGACTGCTTTGTGACCCTCTCAGTACACTCTACTGTCCTGATCCCTGGTCCCCTCTTGCACCCTTTCCCTCTCTCCAACTATAACATCTCCCTCTCTTCCCCTTCCTGCAAGGCTCTTCCCACATTCCAAGCTCAATATTCTCTACTCAGGTATGTAGTATTCACCATGGTTCTGATGAAATCATGTCTTCTTCTTCTACTCTATTCTACCCTGCCTCCATTATATTCTCCCTAGCTTAAATTTCGACTTTTTCTCCTCTTCTTCTTCACATAATATTCTTAGATAGAGTATGAATAGAGAGCATGCACTATTATAACCCTCAAAATGTCACACTACCTCTTTAATCTCTGCTCTATATCCTTGGGCCACATGAGTGCCACTCAGACTCTTCCTCCCTATTCTTGCTGTATTTATCGTTGCAGATAGCTTATATATAACCATATCTTCTACTGCTATCAATATCAATATTTAATTTTGTCAGGAAGTGATGCTTGAATATGTGAGCAGAAATGTGGCCCAAATTGCTGAGCAGCTCAGCAAAACTTTATCACATTATCACACTTATGACTGATAGTGCTCATCTTCAACCAAGAGAACTGTATGAATATGGAACAGTATAATATGGATTTCTGGACATGGTAGTGTCTCTATAGATAGACAGACAAGTACATGATATACAGTGTCTACTCATACTGATATGAGTGCTCTCAGAGCAGGGCATGCCACGATTATATCCGTGCGAGTACCTGTATCCGTGGGAACAAGTACCTGTTCCCTCAGAGGCCACACCTGTATCCGGGGTGGCATCCGTGGGAACGGGTATCCATATCCACGGATACAGGTACTTGCCAATGGGCAGGTACTCATGGATAGAATGAGTCTACGGGTATCTTGTAGGTACCTGAGGGGTACCCGTGGGTACTGTGGTACATATAAGCTGGGGAAGGGGGTGGAGAGGTACTCACCAAATCAATAGCATTGTTCCCAATGACGAGTGGGCCGAATTGCATGAAACCAAGTACAGGGGGCGATGTGGAACATCAACACGCGTCAATCGACCATGCAACATCACAAATACACACAGAATTGAGTGAGAACGAGCGAATTTACGATAGAAGGTAGCAAGGGATACTCACCAGGTCGATGTCGTCGTTCTCGACGACGAAGGGGCCGGATCACATCAAGTCAAGTACGGGGGACGATGCGGGACATCAACACGCGTCGATCGACCCCGCAACGTCACAAATACACGCAAAAATGAGTGAGAAAGAGCAAATTTACGATAGGAGGTAGGAGGGGGTACTCACCAGGTCAATACCACCGTCCTCGACGACGGGTGGGCCGAATCGCATCAAACCAAGGATGGGAGGCGATGCTGGACATTCAAATGCGACGATCGACCATGCAACATCACAAATGTACGCGGAATTGAGTGAGAACGAGCAAATTTACGATGGAAGGGGCAGGGAGTACTCACCAGGTCAATGTCGTCGTTCTCGACAACGGGTGGGCCAAATCACGTCAAACCAAGTACGGGAGGTGATGACGGACATTAATCCGCATCGATTGACCTCGCAACATTGTAAACGTACGCGGAATTGAGTGAGAACGAAGCAATTTACGATAGAAGGTAGCAGGAGGTACTCACCAGGTCAATGTCATCGTTCTCGACAACGGGTGGGCCAAATCGCGTCAAACCAAGTACAGGAGGTGATGACGGACATTAATCCGCGTCGATTGACCCCGCAACATTGGAAATGTACGCGGAATTGGGTGAGAACGAGCAAATTTACGATAAGAGTGGGAGGGAGGTACTCACCAGGTCCTAAGTACCATCATTCCCAACAATGAACACACCAAATCTCTTCAACAAAGTACCAATAGATATAGAAACCAGTGCCTAGAATAAGCATCACCACCATGGACAGAAACACGACGTGTCAACTCTGTCGATGGTGGTGTGTGCTCGGAGAAGAGTGAGGAGAGATGTGCCAGCAAAGCATCACTGGATGCACGTCTGGCCTCCGGCAAATTCCGCCGCGATATGGCAGGTACTCTCCCACGGGTACCTGTGGGACCTGAAGCACTACCTGTATCCGTGCAACCACCCGTGGGAACGAGTATCTGTATCCATGGATACAGGTACCCGATGGTGTGCCTTACGAGTATCCGTTGCAGGTACTCACGGGTCCTGGTACTCGTGGCATGCCCTGTCTCAGAGCTCTCAGAGCGTGGGTTCAGCTATCAAACCTAGGGTGGGAAAACACACCAGCTATATAGCAGATCCTGGATTTCCTGATGTAGGCGAACTTCTACCCAGTATGTGAATACCCACAGAGGCAGGTGGAACATTGTGATAGTTACCACCCCTTCATCCCCGACTTGCTCCAACGGGAAGAGGAACAAGCTGTGGCCCTTACGATGTACCAAAATAACATGTCCATGGCAGCTTTTGAGTTATTCAAGGGTAGGAACATAGAGGGAGAAGAGCATATGGGCCTGGTTGGATGTAGTGATGATTCCCGGCTCCTTTGGAGAAGAGGTCAGCACGCTCGAGGAGGAGGGTGGATGCGCCGATGGACGGTACTCAAAATTGAGGAAGGAGTGCACAGATAGAGGAAGTGCCGGTAAAATGACACTATAAATATTGTGTGGACGGGGAGGATCTCTTGGAGAGCATCAAGTACAAGGCTATGTTCCATGGTCGGTTTTGTTTCTGCTAATTGTCTGTTAGACTAGGATTGGGGCTATGAGCTCTAGGTTGAGACTTTTCGCAGTCAGAACACGGTCACAGCAAAATGTGAATGGTGGCTCGTCGCTTTCCCATGTATATTACAGCCAGGGTAGGCTTGCTCCATGTCGACAGTCGCTGCACAACACTTGCTTGAGTTTATTCTTTCATGTTTATATGAAGATACATCATGTAGTTAGGTGTGAATCTGTGTGATGATAATACATGGGCTTCGGGATACATATACAAGGTCTTGGAATTCCGAGATGGTTTAAAGGCAGTTCCACGTGACCCTAACCGGTACCTAACCTGCCAAATGAAGGTCTCCGAAGGTGCTGCTTCCTAACCGGTACCGAACCAGTACCATACATGGTACAAAACATTTTTGGTACCAAACCGAGGTTCGGTCCGCCACACTAATGCATACCTTCTCCAGTTGCATGCACATCCACATCAACTCAGCCCAACTAAGCTCATCACTATTGTCTGACTCCATGTCCTCAACATCATCGGCCTTAATAATCTCCCCGCACTGCACAGCCAACTCGTGCTAAACAAGTGCAACGATATCCTTTTCCCCTTCAGGGAACTCTTGCATATCCACATTCTCGCGCTCAGCAGGTGGGTCCAGCAGATCTTCGAGTGTCGCCACATCGTGTCCTGGAACGCGGTCGTGAAGTGCCTGTATGGATTCCATCAAAGCGGACTCAAGCTCCGAAAGCTGCGAAAGGGCACGGGCTGCAGATCGGGGAGGTGGGGCACTCGGGGATATGTTGACTGGCTCCGGCATGACAAAAGGAACAGCTGCGAGTGCCTCAACTGCCTCGAGTGCTTTCTCGCAATTACCTTTGGCCTTCATGACTGCATCTAACGCAGGTTTCCAGTGATCCGGAACGTATCTGCCGCCAAGCACATCTTGCAGTGCTTCTTCGGCTTCTGGCAGGGTCATATTGCTGGATTGGGCAAACTCGCGTACAATATCCCATGCATCCACCTCTAATCTCGCCGCGTCATTGAGATCTGAGTTCGACTCTGAGTCTGAGTCCAAACCCGCGAGTGCAGCAGAAGACGTCCTGAACGTATAAACATTAAAATCGGAATCAACACAAAGCAAAAATAGATAAACAAACACATGACAATATCTTTGTGTGATCCCAGCAGTTCCTGATTGTCACCTCTGACACAGCTTCCCACGCTGTCCTCACCATGCATATTGCTTCAAGGATATCAATCTTGTAAATGTCCTCAGCTCCAGCGGCATCCAACTCGATTGCGCGAACACATAGTTGGCGACAATAGTGTACCTTGAAGCACCGGATGATGCCGGCGTCGAGTGGCTGTACATAGGAGGTCATATTCGGCTTGAATGAAATCAATTCAACATTGTGAGGGACGTATGCAATGTTGTGTCCCGAGAAGTTGTCGACTGTGAATGCGACGTTTCGGCCCTGATTACACATTCTCTCATCAAACTCTCTCATGTAGCTAAAAAAAAGCTCAGTGAGAAGATGTCCGAGGACCAGAGAAGCAGCACAGCATGGGACGTACTCTTCCATCAGTTCTGATGTCATCTATGCCTTCTTGTTGTTCCGATAGCGGAAACCAAGCAATTGAGGATCTTGACCTTTGAAGCAGCGTGGGCTCTTGTATCGACCGATAAAGAAGATAGGATATTTCTCTGTTCCGGTAGCGTTACAGAGAAATCCGAGCGTGATACAGAATTTATCTTTCTTCTTCCCACTCATCTGCTCAGTGGATAAGTGGTGCTGGGCAGCGAAGCTGCCCAGCGCCGATCCGCGTATGTAAGCATGATTCCCGCTGCCGAATGTTGCCGCGTCCGAATATGGGTATTGTGGTGTTTTTCGCTCTACTTTCCTGTCACACACGCTTTATCGGTTGTGTTTGCTCTACAACCCATTTTCATCCAAAATTAGATACTCAAATAGTTTGATCTCTATGTATTTGTGTCTCTCAAAGTTTGTTGGATTTTCTGAACATCGGGGCTGGGCTCCCTGCAATGATTTCGCACCATATCATGTGTGGCAATTGAGAATCGGCGTCAGCCACTCGTGCAAGTCGCGTTTGTGTGGTTCGCGCCGCGCACTTTCAGCCACTTCTATTCATACTTGCCACATTGACCTCGAGCTACGGAAGGAGTTGCTCATTAAATTGTCTAATTTCATTAAGAGGATATCTTGACAAGAAGCTGTAGCTTGATATTCTCCGGACAGATTTCTTATGATGTAGGGTAAATTTCATCCTCGACCTCTAACAAGTACCAATAACGATGGCATATTGTTTAAAAGGCTTCCGAAAAAAATTTAACCGGAGAATAGTAAATGATGGCATCTGTAGTATTATCTTCAGATTTTAGCTGGTGATTTCAGACAGACCATGTTTCCGTAGCTCAAGGGACATTCAGGGGACAGCGCGTTGCGTCCGTAGAGGCCAAAAGAGGCCAAAAGAGGTTGACAGTTCAAGCTCCGACGGTCAAGGATGGCGTGGGAGTCTGCTGCCGGGCAGCTGCGCTGCCCAGCACCAGGATAAGCCACGATCGGGAGGCACGCTGCAGCCACAGCATTAGTGTAATGTACGCAGTCTTAGAAATGACAGACTTACAATGGAAAAAGGATGTTTCATCCCAATTGAAGATATCCTTCTGCTGGAAATCTCTCAATTTCACAGAGAGATGAGCGTGCTCAATCTCGACAGCCTTCAAGTCAACTGATACAGCCTCACCATGATGTCGGTGCTCCTTGAGGTTGTACGCACGGCAGAAGGACTGCACCCATCCGCCAGCTGGCAATCGCTGATTCTCCGGGACGTGCAGATCCTCCTCAAATTGTCCTCTCTTGATCCACAGCATGTGACCATTCACGATCTCACCTCGCTGCTGCATGTGATTGACCCAGAGTACGAGACAACGCTCAATATCAGGGCGAGTGACTATACGAGGACGCTTCGTGGATAACGCTCTTGGATTACTCGTGACTCGAGCCTCGAGCTCACAACACATTTTGAGCTTCTTAGAGAGTGTGCTCTGACCAAACAATAGTGCACCCTCTGGACAAGTCTCAAAATAAGTCACAACATCATCTTGTTTGATATCAGGATGCTCGTCAATATAAGAAAACACCCGGATCCAGTCATGCAGTGTGAGATTAGAAGGATGGGTCTGGCCCACGGGCGGCTGAGCAGATGACCTCGGAGTACTCGTAGTGCTCCTTGGCTTTGGAGTGGGCTGTGGAACTGCAAGAGGGGTTTGCAAACGCTCTCGAGGTTTGCGAGTAGGCTTGGAGCTAAGGGTCCAGGTAGAGAGCAGAAGAACAGGAGACATGTTAAGCTGAAGCTCTTTGCAGGATTATTCACTCGGGGACTGTCTCTATTATACTTATACCACTTCATTTGAGCCTTGCTTGTGCACAAAGGAAAGTGCATGCATCAACACACACGAGAGGGCCACAATCTAGCTATCAAAGCATGAAGAAGATGGAGAAGTAATGTAGAGGACATTAAGCCTCGTTGGCGAGATCTGATCGAGATCAGATTGATTCCATAGCAACATAATGAACGTAAAATTTAATTATCTTATGCCGTACGGGCTTATTCCGTATGAGCATTTCAACTGTATTGGGCCACAGTATAATCACAGAAACACTGATTTACACGTTTTTTCCACCATTCTTGTTGTGGTAATTTAGTTTAAATGTATATAAACATTAATCGAGCACCAGAACTGCCGCTGGTGGACAGTGTAAAAAGCAAAACCATGTATTTGATAGGGGATCAGGTGCACAGGTAGTATTGGGGGTGTATATGGTCCAGCTCTCTCTCAAATGCAGTGCGATCATGGTGTGGTGTGGTACAGGGCTAGAGTACATTGTAATGAATGTTTCTGGGTAATTCACCATGGCATACCTGGTCTGTGTGATACAGTAAGTATGGAAAACATCGGTCTTTGGCTGTGAATGGCCAATTCTGCAGTGTGTGTGTGGATTTCTGAATATAATTGAGGAAGTTTGAGACCAATCCCCGTCAGAGATAAGCTCTATATATCAAAAGGTAAACGTCCAAAAAAATCGGAAGTGATCAGCTACCCTATACCTCTCAAAGTGTGCAGAGTGTTGATTTGGAGTGTGCAAGTAAAGAAAGATTAGTCAAATGTCAGTATCAGTATAGTGAGCACTTTGAGAGGTATAGGGTAGCTAATCACTTCCGACTTTTTTTTGGACATTTTCCTTTTGATGCATAGAGCTTAGTCCTAACGGGGATTGGTCCACAAACCTCTCAATTATATTCAGAAATTCAAATACGCTGCAGAATTGGCCATTTACAGCCAAAAACCGATGTTTTGCATTTTTACTGTATCACACAGACCAGGTATGTCATAGTGGATCACCCAGAAACATTGAATATGATGTAATCCAGTCCTGTATCATATCGCACCATGATCACACTGCATTTGAGAGAGATCTGGTCTATATACACCCCCAATATTACATGTGCACCTGCTCCCCCATCAAAAACATGGTTTTGCTTTTTCCACTATCCACCAGCGGCGGCTCTGGTGCTTTTACAATGTTCATATACATTTAAACCAAATTAACACAACAAGAACGGTACCAAAAACGCGTAAATTAGTGTTTCTGTGATTATACTGTGGCCCAATACACTGTTTTGCCCCCTCAGCACCCCACAATTAGTGCAGGACAGTTTTGACTAGTGTTGCACCGTAGATCGGCTTCCCAAACATCAAAGTATATTGTCCAATCATCACTTCAACACCACAAGACATTCTAACCATGGCAATACCCCCAGGGTAGATGTTCTCCTCCTCCTCCCCCAGACACGGCACCACTACCAAGGCCACAATCATTGTTTTTGTGCCCGGTGTGCTCCCCATCACTTAGTATTGATATAGTACTACCAGTGACAGCAAAAACCAAGGTAATTGAACCGCTATATCCCCAGTTCTGGCCTGCCCACCCCCTTTTACCGTAATAGGGTAATATCTTGCCGACTGTTTATGCTATAACTTTGGAATGAATTGACCGATTCCTTCCAAAATCGATTTGCACCATCTTATACATTTATCAATGTTTATCAAATAGTCAGAACTCCCAAAATCGACCTCCTTCATGTTGCCAAAATTGGGCCACAATTTAAATTTTATATGTCAATTCCATTGAAATGACACCCGGCAATGTGATCCCTTCGTCCTAACTCACAAAACTCGCAAAGTTACCGAAATACCCCCAGATCACCCTGTTTCCCCTACTGATCTACCCCCAGGTATCCAGTACCCCCACCCTAGCATCCCTACTATTATTCTACTATTTTCCCGTATTTGTATCGGCCACCGTTCCATCCCTATTCACCCTGTGATCATCCCTGCCCATATTCCCCATTTTATCCATACATAACCCAGCCCGTTTCATCATATACACCCTACCTACCTGCCCTACCCATTTCCCAGTACCCCTACCCCATCCCCTATCCCCTACCCTACCCCCAGGACCACCCCTATACACCCTACCCCATCACCCTGGGCCACTCGGCCATCCAGAATCACCCCCCGGCCGCCCCAATGGCCATCCCAGTACTGGCATTTATTATTATTTTCCTGAGGAAGAATTGTAAAGGAATCTGGACCCGGGGCTTGTCAGGAAGTGTCAGGCGGTGTCAAGGACTTCCCCTGATGATTATATCATGGTACAAGTGAGTGGTCCCTAGGGAGGCTCCTGGCGCTTCACGGCGCAAGGTTTTTAAAACAAAGTAAATTAATGTACTGTATTAGTTCAATCGGGACATCGTCACCCACATGTTACTGATTTTGTCGCGACCACTGCGGACTTCTAAGCTGTGTTGCTTAGATGAGCGGCTAAGGCCGAACGTAAAAACCCTAGACACTGGGTTACGTGAGATCGGACTACATTGGTAGTATCCGAAGGGTGGTTCCTAGGTCAAGATCGCGGCTGGTGGCGTGATCAAGAGGTGGGCGACCGGAAGTCTAGTCTGCACTCGAGTTTGGCGGGGTGTGCCGAACGATGGAGAGAGAACCAAGATAACGAGTATATTCCAAGGAGCCTTGTGGGCGTGGAGATAGACCGAGTAGGTGTAGTCGAAGTTGGAGTTGGTAACCGTACCAAGTGCAACAGTGGGCTGGTAGACAAGTGTCTTTGTACCGGGTGACTAAGAGGAGGATCAGGTTAAGGGAGTGAAGGTGGGAGTACCAAAAGTATACATACGTAGAAGGGGAAGGGACGCGTAAGCGTGGGAACAAAGTATCAGTAAGCAAGGGAAAAGGATCAGTAAGCCAAGGAGAGGACGCGTCAGCGCAGGGTAAGCAGAATGAGTAATAGTACAAGAATAGAGTGAAAACCGGAAGAGTGGAGAGGCATGGGTGTACGCGTAAGTGTCTGTAAATATAGTCCGGACATCCGTAGGAAACGAGTCAACAGAGAGGAAAGAGGAGAGGGAACCGGGTCACGAGCGATAGAGGAAGGAAAATAGAGGAGGATGAAGAAAAACAAATAGGCCATGTCAGGACGGTCATGACAGATTTTGCCGTTACAAGGTGGGAACTGCTACAGTGGTATTTCACAGACAGTAGACCTATAATCAGAACCACGATGTACGTACATACTACAATACAAAAACTGGACATTTAGCTGGTTTGTTAGATCTAGAGACAGGTACTGATTGGTCTAGGCATTCTATTCCTAGACCTGATAGACGCTTGTCGATTGGCCCGCTAACACTCGTCAAGGCATCAATTTCTATTCAATAGGAGCCGAACAAGCTCACTTATGTATTCACAACGTTCATGCACTTTCAGGAAAACAATCTCTAAATGCATAGAAATGCATAGATTAATCGAGCTTAACCTTTTCTTTTCATCTGTAGATCATTAACCCTTTTTTCGTCAGTTACCAACTCAGATGAGAGAGCGGTAACTGCATTGCGCTATCCTATTTTTGACTCTGTCCTGCATATTCTTATCCAGTGCCTTCTCATTATTCTGACCTATGCCAACTGCAATCGAGCATATGTACAGCCCATACAGCCCATTGCTGTTCAAACTTCACTACCACCAACTAACATTGGGATTCGTTTTATCTCCCTGTAACAGAAGACAACGAGCAGTGCGGACATATTCTTGCACCTGGGGCACTCAACTTTGAGTATGCTCTCACAGGTGTTGAATACTGGATAGACCAGTCATCTTCAATCCCGGCCATGACTCAATTATGTACACAGACCAACAAATTGATTGTCCACCCCTAGTCCAGTTTCAGCTCTGATAAAACTGTGTTGAATTGAATGTCACTGTAACTTATATGTATGAGGTATGAATGTGTAATTTGTGCATAGACAGAGTTTCGTGGTTATAGTATCAGTATTTGGCTACAATAGAGGGTGGCACCGGTCATGTGATGCTGACTGCGTTGAATGCGTACATATTGTGCTCTCTTCCGCAATGACTCTCACGACAAACAACTTCAGATTCACATTGCACATACTCTTTGGTCTCTTACCTGTCTATTTACACATTCAAAATTCCATGCCCGCTCCAACAACACCAACTAAATGAGCACAGATCGTCACTTGGAAGGCTGAAGGCCGTACAAATGAATAGATCACACATCAGCTCAGGATCTCAACACGCACTATACACAGTCTCAACGCCAAATGTACTCACACCCAGAGCTTCTACCCAATATCTCTAAAGTCCGGTCGCAAGCCCAAACTAACTGTACGGGATCGAAAGTTTGCCATGCGCAAGCTCAAATCTGGTCAAATCGACAACCCAACAATCCTCCGTGAAGAGTACTTTCCACATGTCTCAGCTCGGACCGTTCAATGCACCCTGAGAAAGGGAGGCCTCTGTGCTTACACACGACATGTTGTCCCACTTCTTCGGAAGGAGCATCGGAGAGCACGAAGGAAGTAGGGAAAGGATCATGAAGATTGGACAGAGGAGCAATGGAAGTTGGTCTGGTTCTCAGATGAGGCAAGATTCGAGCTGTTTGGGTCGGATGTAAGGAGATGGGTCTGGAGAAGGCCTAGAAGGGCATTAGATCCACGGTACACAAAGAAACAGGTGAAGCACGGGGGTGGCAGTGTTATGGTATGGAGTGTGGTGACACCATTTGGGATTGAAAGGCTCGTGCGAGTTGAAGGAAACATGAATGCGGCTCAATATAAGAGAATTTTGGAGGAAGGGTTGCTAGGGACTGCCAGAGATTTTGGGGTAGATCTCAGCTCATTCATCTTCCAGCAGGACAATGATCTAAAGCACAAGGCACAATGACTCTGGCAGTGGTTCGAAAAGCAAGGTCTCTCTACACTCGTCTGGCCAGCTTCGATGGCTGAATTCAACATTATTGAGAATGTCTGGAGTCATATGAAAGCTTGACTTTGCTCTCGCAGCCGCCCTCACAATAAGGAGCAGTTGTGGAAGATGTTGCAGGAAGAATAGTACGGGATTGATGTCCGCTATATACAGACCTTATACTCCTCTCTTCCCTCTTGTATCCATGCCCTCGTGAAGGCAAAGGGTAGTAATATTCCTTATTAGATGCAAACACATACATTCCTTTGTCTTCCATATTTTCTACAAATTTTACTTTAGTCATTGCCATTGTGTGACACCACAGTGCCACAATGAATAAGTCCATGCCTGCAATTTTTTCTATCTTTCAAATAGACTGGGTACAGTATTGTAGAACAAGTCTCACATATTACTATCTGCTAACCCAATCAAAGATGGACTCCAGCGCTATGTACACAGATCTAGAACTGCAAGGGGGGTGGACAACCATTTTGTCGGTCTGTGTAGTCTTAATCTGTTTGTTCCTGGACATTAGTCTGGAAAGACCACAGCTTTAAAAATGCTCCAGTGAGTAGTGGAAAGTTTTCTTAATGTATATCAGGTCTATGCTTATTTAGTTGCTCAGGGTGTTTCTTCAAATCCTGTTCATGACGTCTCCTGGCCTTCATAAGGTCGTCAAGAATCTAGACATTTTCAGTCAGGAAGTCCCTGACTGGAACTACTTGGAATACTTTGAACAATACCCTAACGTCCTCCTGGACATGAAAGTACATATATTATTTTCACAAAGCTTCCAGTAGGGTATTTTCATTATTTTGATGAGCCTTCTGAGCTCGTTCAACAATTATTATCACAGAATTTTTACCCCATGACATTCATTGAATCCCTCAAATCTGAAATGCACCAGTTATGGATGGATTAGAAGAATTTCATTCTCAAAGCTGAAAGTCCAAAAATTGAAGAAATTAGCTCTCTGCATGACACCCTGTTGCTCTGGAGTACAAAAAGATATCAGGAAGTGGATATAAGCGACGCAACAGTACTGCGAAGCCTGTTGGACTTGATGAAATGCATCTACCACGTCAATAACTACCAATGTATAGTCCTCATTGACAAGATGCATAAGTCTGTGCTTGCTGAGGACGATACCGACATCCTCACAGTTTAGAGCGATGAGGTGGGCTATCTTATCAGTCCTATTTTAGGCTCAAATTCAAAGCTATAAGGTGCTATATAGGCAGGAAGGCAACTAGCATCCTTTATTGCCACCTATTTGAAAGTAAGTGATGGTCCCATTACAAAATCTCAAATTACTACTAGACTGATAATTGATTATGACAGGGAAATAACACAATCAAGTTCTCACTGCCAGCTGCTGTAATTCAGGTAACAAATGGTGGATATGTGGCCGACATGAATTTTAGCAAGTTGTTGGGGGGTAAGAAGGGGTTGATAGACGAATTGGTGAAGGAAGCGAATGAGCTTTTAAAAGTGATAGGTGCAGAATTTCAGACGGATGGAATAGAGGAGGCGGCAAGTAGGAAGAGAAGGGTTGAGGCGAAGGTGAAGGCTAACAGGAAGGAGAAGGCAAATGTGAAGGTGAATCCGAATGTAAAAGGGAAGGGAAATGGACAGGTAAAGGAGACAGATAGGTGTGCGGACAAAGATGAGAACAGCGAGGTAGAGAGTAGGGACTGTAGAAAGAGAAGTGCTATTCAGTCAGACAGTGATGGAGAATCACAGGAAATTGAGGTGAACCAGAAGAAGAAGGCGAGGAAGGAGAGGGTGTAGTATTTTAGCAGGTATAGTGTAATTAGGCTACAATAGGAGTTAGCTTGACTGTGTTTGACCTCAATTTATCAATTTCTGCTGAACATCATAAAAAAGAAATCAGAAGTATATTAGTCCTATCACAGAGCTTTGTGGAATCCTAGTCGCTGTTGGATTTCTCGCAGAGAAGCTCTGCTCCACATGGAGCTACTTCTGACCTTTCCGATGGGGCTACCACTAACTGGGCCACAGCATGACTGTAGGCCTTTAGGTGGACCATTGTCAAAAACATCACTTAAAGGTCATAATACAGGATCTTATACGAGCTCGAGGGTATTTCCAAGATGACTCGACCAATGATTGGAGAGAGTACTGCATGTTATATCAGAATGAATTTCTGCTGTGGCCACATCGGTACTTCACGCAAGGTGTTGGTACAGCTTTCTTAGTAGCTCAACATAAGTTTGGAACTAATGATAAAGTTACGATAGATTTTAGTGAAGCCCAACAGTAGCCAGAAATGAATAAGAAACTTCTATTTTGGTGAGAAAGAGGATACACAAAATAACAAGATATTCATCTTCAGCTTCATAGGGTAGCTTAGCGGAAGTCTGAAACAAACCACATGTGAGGTGCAGATAATCGAGCACTCGAAGAACGACCGTGAGAAGCATCACTGTCAATGATGTTGTTCTCACAAAGTAATAGAAAAAGAAAGAGACAAAATCTATAGTAAGACTCACCTGTGAGAAGCGTCACTGTCAATGATGAAGAGACAAGGACATTTCCCACAAGTTAAAAGGATGTGCTTCAGTGCTTACCAGTCTACTATACAGTTGGAAAAGTAACTGCCTAAACGGGACGCAGAGAGGTGGATCCCGAGGCACAGAATCTGGTGTTCTGTGGACCGCTTGGTAGCAAAATAACTAAACAGTCAATCACCGGTCCTTGCACTGGCCGAACATCTACCACCATAGAATATATTGAGATCTGCATTGTGCTTCCAAAAAACCACCCACGGCTATGTAAATTAGTAGATTTAACAATACCAGGTACTTATAACTGTGCTATAGTGAGGTATAATGAACAAGATAGGTAGATTAGTAGTGACTGGAGGCAATGGGCCATCCTCGGTCCTTGCACCGCGTCTCATAGAGGACGGCCCGCCAGCCCGTCGCCACTCGAAAGCATTGTGGCACCAGCCAAGAATGTCAAGAAAAATGAAAGAGAAATTGTCCGAACAAAAGATCAGCACCAAGATAGATTAACCACTGTCAGTGTGAGGCGCAGATAATCGAACACTCGAAGAACGACTGTGAGAAGCGTCACTGTCAATGATATTGCCCTCACAAAGTAATAGAAAAAGAAAGAGACAAAATCTATAGTAAGACTCACCTGTGAGAAGCGTCACTGTCAATGATAAAGAGACAAGGACGCTTCCCACAAGTTAAAAGGACGCGCTCCGGCGCTTACCGGTCTACTATACAGTTGGAAAACTACCTGCCTAAACGGGACGCAGAGGCGCGGAACCGAGGCGCGGAATCCGGCCCTCTGCGGACCGCTTGGTGGCGAAATAACTAAAGTCATAACTCTGCAGTAAGTGGTCCTATCAGTCCCGGAAAAATTGCTAAAATATCAGGAAAATTCCCTCTGTCTCGTCGTAATACTCCGGACACTCCCTCCCGACGAGGCAGACCTCAAGCCCTAAGCCCCATCATCTCCGCGAACTTCTGCACTTTAACCCTAGCCAAGGGTTTAGTCAGAAGGTCTGCAGGCATCTCATCCGTCCCTATATGCTCCATCCGGATTGTCCCCTTCTCCACCTCATCTCTCAACCAATAGAACCGCAAATCCAGATGCTTCATACGCCCATGGTGCTCCGGATTCTTCGCCACTTGAAGCGCAGACTGATTGTCGATGTAGAGGGTAGAAGAAGAGTCGAGTGAATAACCAAAGGAAGTGAGCAAGTTGCGAAGGAAGAGGATCTCTTGGCCAGCAGTGGTAGCAGCGACGTATTCGGCTTCTGTGGTGGAGAGGGCAACGATGGATTGAAGGCGAGATTGCCAGGAAATAGCGCCGGTGCCCATCTTGACGAGATAACCAGAGGTGGAACGTCCAGAATCCGGATTCCCTGCATGATCGGCGTCGGTGTAGGTCTGGAAGAGCTCAGTGGAGGAAGAGGAAGTGGGAGAATAAGTGAGTTTATAGTCGAGAGAGCCCTTGAGATAGCGAAAGAGGTGCTTGATCGCTTTCCAATGCTGGAGACCTGGATTCTGGCTGAAGCGAGCAAGGACTCCGACGCTGTGAGCTATGTCTGGACGAGTGGCGATCGCAAGGTAGGCCAAGGCTCCGACGGCATTGATATAAGGAATAGAGCGCATCTGCAGCTCTTCTTCGTACGACTGGGGCGCCATGGAGGTGGAAAGG